CGGGGTGCTGCTGCCGTGCCACCAGGGCTGGGAGCGCTGGCACATCCCAAAATCCTCCTCACACAGCATCCCTGCCTTCCCCCAGCCTGGGGACACCGACATGGGGTGTTCAAGGGCTGGGGGACGTGGAGAAGGGGTCTTCAGTGCTGGGGGATGTGGATCTTGGCTGTGGGACATGGAAAAAGGGTGTTCCTGGCTGTGGGATGTAGAAAAGGGGTGTTCATTGCTGGGGGACGTGGATCTCGGCTCTGGGATGGGGAGCAGGTGTTCCTGGCTATGGGATGTGGAGAAAGGATGCTCCTTGCTGTGAGATGTGAATCATGGCTCTAGGACACGGAGAAGGGGTGATCCTGGTTTTGGGATGTGAAGAAGGGGTGTTTATTGCTATGGGATGTAGATCATGGCTGTGGGACGTGGAAATGGGGTGTCCATTGCTGGGTGATGTGGATCATGGCTCTGGGACATGGGGAAGGGCTGTTCATTGCTCTGGGACGTGGGGAAGGGCTGTTCATTGCTCTGGGACGTGGATAAGGGATATTTATTGCTCTGGGACGTGGGGAAGGGCTGTTCATTGCCCCATGCACTCCCAAGATCCCAAACCTCACCTCCCTGCCCGTGCTCCCCCGTGTGTCCCGCAGGCCTGGGCGACATCACCCAGCAGCTGAACCAGAGCGAGCTGGCCGTGCTGCTGAACCTGCTGCAGAGCCAGACCGACCTGAGCGTGCCACAGATGGCCCAGCTGCTCAACGTGCACTCCAACCCCGAGATGCAGCAGCAGCTGGAGGCTCTCAACCAGTCCATCACGGCCCTGACCGAGGCCACGGCGCAGCAGCACCACGAGCCCCCGGCAGCGGCCGAGGAAGCCATAGAGGAGCCGCCCACGGAGGTGCCCGAGGAGCAGCAGACTCCAGAGGCAGCCAGCGCTCAGGGAGACATGCAGAACGTGCTGGCAGTTCTGCTCAGTCAGCTCATGAAGAGCCAGGAGCCTGGGATAACCCTGGAGGAGAGCAACGGGGAGAAGAGCAACGAGCAGCGGGGGCCCAGGAAAACCCCGACGAGGCATCCCGAGGAGAGCACAGGTAAATGAATGAACCACACCTGGTGGGAGCGGTGAGAGCAGCCCAGGGAGTGCTGCTGGTTGAACTGCAGCCAGGAATGAGGCCTTGGAGTGTTGGGAGAGAGGCAGCAGAGAAGTGGATGGGAGGAGGGAAAAGGGGTAGGATGTGAAGAGAAAAGAGCCTCACCCCCTCCCTGTGGTAAGTGCTGGACTGCTCAGGAGGTTGAACCAGCTGCAAACAGCCCAAAGAGGCAAATATTACCCTAAAATCCATGAGTGCTCCACTGTGAGTGAGCCAGTGAAGATGAATTGGAGGTCTTGGGGTTTGCCCAAAAATGCAAGGGAAGTTTGGAGGGTCAGTTCTTCCTCAACCCCCCCAGCAATCAGTTTGCAGGTCCAGGGAGGTTTTTTTGCACAAGATGCTGCTGCATCTCTGCGTTTTTTCCCAGCTCTTTTTCACCATCCCCTCCCTGCCCTCTTGAAAAAAAATAAATAAATGGACGTGCAGAGATGATTTTAAAGAGTTTAAACAGTGATGAGTGCTGAAGGGAGGGATAGTGGCAGCTGTGTAGGTAAACCCTGAGCATCCACAAGTGCCTGGTTCTACCCGGAGCTAATTCTGAGCCCTAAAACTCAGCAGCTCCTGAAGCTGAACCAAACTCCTGCTTCTTATAGCGAGACTTAAAAAAAAAAAAAAACCCTGCTTGTGTCAGTGAGCTCTCGGATTTCCTTTCCAAAGGTGAGTGTAAATGTCTCCATGTCTTTTTTTTTTTGTTTCTGTTGATTTTTTGAATTTATTAGCAACAGCCTGTGACGACCTCACCAAATTGTAGAAGCGCCTCCTGAGTATGTCTCAGACTCTCCGGGGAGCCTGTTTTGGCCCGATCCCACCTCCTGCAATGTAGCTGAACGTGCTGTGTTCTCGTGCCTTCAACACCCGCCCACCACGAGCCAGTTGTGATCGTGCTTTTTTTTTTTTTTTTTTTTTTTTCCCCCTTTTTTTTTTTTTTTTTTTTTTTTTTTTGTTGTTGTTGTTGCCCTAGTCCTGGAAGATAACTAGGTTACTGTAGAGCAGATGGAATTCGATGCCGTTGTTCTCTGTTGATAATTCTTTGGAATGATTTGCTGTCCCCCAGATCAGCTTGGCTTTACAAATTTTACCTGAAGATTGTTTTGGTTTTTTGTTTTTTTTTTCTTTTTTTTTTTTTTTTTCGTTGTTGTTTTATTTTTCTGGATTTCAATACAATCTAGTTTTCAAAGTGGACTGACGGATACGGGTGGAGGGGTGGTCCTGGAAGACTACTGGTTTTCACAATAAAGTTTGACCTTTTTAATAACCAGTTTTGCCAATGATTTGAGGATCTGATTCCAACAAGGTGTCCGTGGGCTCTGCCATCGCCAGTAATTCCTTCCCCCGTGGGCGAGGGAGAGGAGGCAGCTCAGGTCTGTGTTGCTCCAGAGGAGGCAGGGCTGGTTTTGGGAGTGGAGCAGGTCGTGTCCCCTCCCTGCCGTGGTGTCACCTGTCGTGGTGTCACCTGCAGCCCCAGGGGGGGCTCAGTGCTCTGCTCCCTCTCCCACCCCCCTGTTTGTGCTTCCTCACAGGCTGGGACAGAGCAGGGGGGGCCGGGGGTGACTGAGCTCTGTTCTTCCCGGAGGAAAACAAACCCTGATTTGGGAGGAGATCGGCGGTGAAGGGACGGGGGGGGAGGCAGCAGAAGGTTTTTTTTTTTTCTCGTGCTCAGGCCAGTCTGTTCATTCGTGCCAATATTTGAGGGGCTCGAGCTTGTTTTGGATTCTGTGTCCAAGGCGGGGCAGCAGGGCTGGGGTGGCCGGGGGGCGGTCAGTGGGTGCCCTGCTGCCCTCGGGGTGCCAGGGGGGCACTCAGGAGCTGGCAGCCGTGTGCTGGGCTCGGCTTTGTGTTTGCCCGATCCAGCACAGCCCCGGCCACGCTCCCTGAGCCGCTCCTGGAGCCGGGGCCGGGCGGGGCTGGCCCCGGGGGGAGCCGGGGCTGGCGAGTGGCTCCACATCTGCCTCCTGCTCGGGATTAGCCTTTGATCCAGGAGCAGGAATTCCCTGCACGGGTGCCCAGGTGTTAGGACAGCTGTTGTCGGCGAGTTGGGTGCGCGGGGGCCGGGGCCAAAGCGTTAATGAACATTGTTAATGAACCTCCCAGCCAGCGTTCAAACTCTTCCCTCCGCCTCTTCCCAGAGCATCCCAGAGCGGGCGGCCTCGGCAGGGATTGGTTTGATTTGCTTAGAAATGTGCTTTGTGTGTGTTTGAAACGCTGTTTAAAAGAAGTCACCCTTCCACAGCGTGTCCTCCTGGCATTGTCCCACCAGAGAAGAGACCCCCCGAGCCCCCCGGACCGCCGCCGCCTCCTCCCGTGCCCGAAGGGGATCTCTGCAGTGCAGCCCAGGAACTGAACCCGGCCGTGACGGCTGCGCTGCTCCAGCTCCTTTCCCAGCCCGACCCGGAGCCGCTCGGCCACGCCACGCAGGAGCCACCGGACTACGGCCACTGCCAGCCCGGCAGGACTTACAGCACCGACAGCTCCGAGGGCGGATTCGGTGCCGAGGAGCTCAATCCGGGCCAGACTCTGCTAGAACCTTCTGCCCAACCCTTGGGGAAAAGCAGGACCTTCATGGGCTCCGTGAGCCACCTCGGGGAGAGCAGCAGCTACCAGGGCACGGGCTCGGTGCAGTTCCCGGGGGACCAGGACCTGCGCTTCGCCAGAGTCCCCGTCAGCATCCACTCGCTCGGGCAATCCTTCAGCAAATCCGACGGGAGCAACAACAACGCGCTGCTACACCCCGAGGCCAAAATGCAGAGTTACGGCGACCTGGGGCCGGGAACGGCCGCTCCCAGTGCGGCGGCAGCAGCAGGAGCAGCTCCCGGCTGGGGTGCCCCAACCCAGGCAGCGTCTTCCTATGGGAAGACATTCCGAGGGCCTGGCCGAGTGCCTCCGCGGGGGGGGCGGGGCCGGGGGGTTCCCTACTGAGATTCCCGGGATCCCCGCCTTGCCTCTCCTCCTTTAGCCACAGGACTTGATTTTTTTTTTTTTTTTTTTTTTTTTTTTTTTTTTTTTTTTTTTTTTTTTTTTTTGGCCAGAGCAAGGTCTCGTCTGCATTTCAGCTGCTGCAGAGCTCCCTGGGCATCCCTCCCTCCCTCGGGAGCTGCCAGAGGGTCCCCACTGGCCTCCCGTGCTTGGTTAGTGACAAAAATAATCCCAACCCTGCAGCAAACTGAGCCAGGAGAGGGAGGGATTGATGGATTGATGGAAAAGTAGGAATGGAAGGAAGAAGAAATTTAAAAAATGCTGTTTCCCCAAGTTGGGCACTGGAGTTTGCAGTGGGTCAGGGAGGGCTGGGGGCAGGCTGCTTCCCAAAGTGTTTTTTGTCGTTGTTGTTTTGTTTGTTTTCCCCGTTTCCTTAAGAAAAAAAAAAAAAAAGAAAAAACAAATGAAAAGGGGAATTTATTGATGCAGAGGCACCTGGATGGGTTATCCCAGCAGTGGGGACCTGGGATGTGACGCTGGTTGTGTTCAATTTATCCAATGTTGTTTTCTTTCCATAAAGCATCCAATTTTCCCTCTGCTCCAGGGCCAGTCCTGTCCCCTGTGACAGCAGCCTTAGTACATTGATTTTTTTGGGAAGGGTCTCTGGGTGTTGGATCCTTCCTGCTGTAACTTGGCAGTGGGAATTGTCTTTTTTATTTTGTCTTATATTTTTTTTTTAACTTTTTTTTTTTTTTTTTGAGAGCCGAGGAGAACACCTCCCTGAAAAACAGGGATTTCTGTCAAATGTAACTTCCAGAACACTTCAAGAATAAAAAAAAAAAGAAACAAAAATCCCATCATCCGGTGGGATTTGCCACCAGATGGGAATGATTTGTCCCCAGAATCCTGGGCTGGTGCTGCCCATCCTGCCGAGGTCGGTGGCATCTGAGCCCTTTGAGGTTTTCCAGGTGTTCCTGTGTCATTTCCATGAGCATATTTCTATTTTTGTTGTTGTCAAGGAAGTATTTACGATGGATTTTCTCCTCCCACAGACCCTTGCGCTGTTCATTTCAATGAGACTTAAAAAGAGATGAATAAAACAAAGGTACCTATTTATCAGCTTTTTTTTTTTTTTTTTTTTTTTTCCCAAATAGGCCTTTCCTATGGAAAACATTTAATTTTAGAGCCAACAGTTCTGGAGTGTTAAAGGGGAGGGGAATTTTGGGTTGGGCTGAGAGACTTTCTTGTTACTAACAGGATTTAATTTCTTTTTTTATACAGAGAGATAAATTTAAATAAATGCACCTGAATAGGTGATGCTTCTCCACCTGGGGAGATCCTGCCTTACCCAGCTTTGCCATGGGAGGGAGGAAGGAAGGGAGAGAAATTAAATATATAGATATATTTTTTATTTTTATTTGCTGGTGCTGTGCAGGGACCACTGGCTCCCAGCACTGAGGAGTGATGCTGTTTGCAGAATTCCCACTGGAAATTTGTAGGGTTTGGGATTTTTTTTTTTGGTTGGTTTGTTTTTGTTTTTTTTTCTTTAATGTAGTTCATGCCTGATGTGCAGAGAGAAAAGAAAAGAGACGTTGTGAGACACAGAGTGCACTGAACCCACCGAGGGGCTTTAGGGGGGTTTCATTTCTCTATTTTCCCTTTTCCTGGCACCAGCTCCAGGCTGCCATGGAGCTGCTGCTGTTCCCTTTCTTCCCGGTCCCATCCTCTTTGGAAGGAAAAGTCTCGTTCCTGTGCTGAATCCCCTTAGGAAGCCGATGCCTATTTATTGTCTCTCCAAACTGGCACATTCCCAGGAAAGCTGCCGGGAACGAGGCGTCCTCTCCTCGTGCTGGTGTCATCCTGGCTTTGGGGCCCCACGTTGGGGTGGCTGGTCCCAGTTTAGGGGTCATCGGTCCCAGTTGAGGGTGGCCTTTCCCAGCTGGGTCTCCCTAAGCCCAGTCTGGCACGGGGCTGGGAAGGGGCCGAGGGCCTGGCAGGGGCTGTGAGGGCTCCTGTCCCCTGTCCCTTGTCCCCTGTCCCCTCTCCAGTGAGGGATGGGCAGCCCAGGCATTGTTCCCTGCTCTGGTGGCCGGTGGCAGCTGCCAGCTGTCCCCAGGGGCCCTCAGGGCTCCTTGGAAGGTGATTCCTCCATTCCTCTCTGAGTCTCCAGCCTCTCCGGGGAAGGACCCGTCATTCCAGTCCCGGTGGCTTTTCCTAACTGGTCCCAGCACGAGCCTTTCAATCCCTGCCAGGGCCACGGGGTCTGGGGGGGACCAGCCTGGCCAGGTCCTGGGGGGGCTGTGGGACCATTCCTGCCTCCCATCACCTCTTTTTCTTTTATTTCCCCCCACCCTTTTATTATTATTATTTTTTAATTTTACCTTTTTCCCATTGCTCTGCACAAGGAAGACAAAAGGATTCGCGGTGTTGGGTGGGATTTGTGCATTTGGAAGGATTTAACGTGGTGCAGTTACAGACAAGGGGGTGAGGACAGCTCCTCCCTCCTTCCCCCCATCCTGGCTCTGGGTTCAATCCCAAACTCTCCCCCTGTAGCAGTTCCCAGCAGAGAAGCCTCTGGTCAGACTCTTGCTGTACCTCTCCCGAGTTTCCTTTGGAGACTGAGCGCGCCTTTTTTCGGTTGTACCTTTGTCTCTGTACAGATATTTTGTAATATATTAAAATTTTTTTCTTTTCAGTTTATAAAAATGGAGAAGTGGAGATTGGAAAATTAAATATTTCCTGTTACTGTATCTTGCTTGCCTTTTGCTCCTTTGCTTCCCGTAGCCTTTGGAATCACACGGTAACTTGTGTTTTCCTTGGAAAGCTTTTTATTCCCTCCTGGTGAGAGGGGTGGGATTTGGCATTGCCAGCCTCTGCAAGCCCCCAGATTCCACTCTCTAATTAAGCTCCAAGCCATCATTAGCCCTGGGCTTCCCCCCACTCGAAGGGGTGTTTGTTGGTGGGAGATGCCCGAGCTGGAGCTGGGGATGGTTTGGTTAAGGTGAGAAAAAGAATCCTGGAGCTGATGGGAAGGCGAGAGAAGAGATGGTGCTGCAGGAAAGGGAAGGATTGAGGTTGAGATTTGGCCCCAATCCTTCTCCCAGCTCCTGGCAGCTTTGGGCACTGGAGAGGACCCCAGGGTGCTCCAGCCTGAGCCACCAGGGCAGGGGAGGGGAGCTGTGCCTGTGTCACCCCTTCCTCCACACAAACCCCTCCATGATTTTCTCGGTGCTGCTCCCAACCCCGTTGTGGCTCCCGAAGGACTCAGGAGGGTTTGTCCCAGGAATTTGGGATGGTGGGAGCCACGTGGGCCGGAGCTGCTCCCGGAATCGCCTCGGGGGAGCCAGAGGAGCTGCGGGTGCCCAAACCTCGATCCCCGCCGAGCCCGGCCGCCGTCTCCCGTTCCAGCCCCGGCTTTCTCGCTCTCCTTTCGCCTGGTTCCGATCCCTGCGCTGACACATCTTAAAATATATCCCTGTGCAGATGGTGGGGGGGTGGCGGCGGCGCCGGGCGCTTCCCGGTGCCTGGGAAAGCAGGAGCGAGCCCCCAGCGCCCACCCGGCCTCCCCTGATTTATGGAGGGGCAGCTGGGCCCCGTGCACTCGGCTGGATCCCTAATCCCTAATCCCTAATCCAGCCTCCTGCTCCCTGCCCGCGGCTCCGCCGGGCTCCGGGGCCTCACCCGGTGCGGCAGAAGGGACGCGATGCCACCCCGAGCTTCCTCACATCCCACCTTCCCTTCCCTCTGCCGGCAGACAAAGCCCCACGTGGCCCCGGCTCCTGCGGCATCCCGATCCAAAGGTGACCAGGCCGTTTTATCCCATTTAATTTATTTTGGCATTGAACTTCCTCGGCAGCAGCTGCCGTGCCAAATGGCCGGGGGCTGCCCGGAGCCGGCGCTGTAAATCTCCGGCGTTCGGCTCTTCCCGCTTGGATTCTGCTCGTTGGAGCCGCGGCTGCTCCATCCCGACATTCCTGGCTGCTCCATCCCAGCGTTCCCGACTCCATCCCCTCCAAATGTGGGGTCGGGCACAGCTCTCCTTCCTCCTCCTCATTCCCGCAGTGCCCTCACGGCCTTGGGGTTGTGCTGGTGGCACCATCCAGCTCCGCTGGCATCGGTGTCCGGAGTATCCCGGTGCTCCGGGCACGGCCCTTGGAGCCCAGCGCCTGCTCCGGGAATGGGGATGGAGATGGGATGCTGAGGAAGAGGAGGAGGAGGAAGATGAGGAACGGACCTTCCCATGGAGCAGATCCCCGCGGGACACCGGGATCCGGCCGGAATCTCCACCCGGAGCTGGCCTCGCACCTCCCGGCTGCAAGTCCCGGCGCACACGCGTGTGCCAGGGTGTGCGCACACCTGGGGTGGCACACGCGTGTTCACACGTGTCCGGGGGGGTGACTGTCACCAGGTGTCGCTCTCGGCACGGCCACCACCTCCCACCGCGTCCCCGTCCTCCTCCTCCTCCTCCTCCTCCTCCTCCTCTCCGGCTATATTTGTCCTTCCAGCTGCTCCGGCTGTCGGCATTAAAGGTTTTTCATCCAATTTAGACGTTTCCTTCCAAAAATCCGTTCACACCTTTCCCTGGCATTTGCAAAGGGGAAAGAAGAAAAGCATTGAGAAGGATAAAACCACCCAAAAAACCCCTTGGAGGTGTTGGAGGCCGCGGATGGGGGATGGAGGAGGTGTTGGGGTTGGGTTCTGGGGGGGGAAGGATGGGGGTGTGAGACCCCCAGAATTACCCATCCCATGGCATCCTGCATTTTCCATCCCTTGGGATGAAGATGCCGCATTCTGAGGGCCCGGGTGGGTTTTTTGGTTGGCAGCACAAGCACGGATGGGGTTTGGCGGGCCTGGATGGGGTGAGATTCCTTGGGCATGGTGTGGGGGGATGGCAGGGGGGTGGCACATTCCCTGTGCCATGGGGCCACCTGGCCGCGTCCCCTCGCACTGGCAGCTTGATTAAAAGGCGGCGCGGGCGGTGGCACAGCTGGTGCCTCCTGCCA